ATATCTTATGTGGTTCGATATACTTAGTTCACTATAAACAATGCTCTGATACCAATCTGTCACACCCCCAAACCAGAATGGCGGAAACATTCGGGGGTGGATGACTTCACGTAGTATCATAACAGTTGAATATTGTAAAGAAAGTAAGCACAACCATCATAAATATAATAAAATTTACATTGTTGCGTGTAATATATGTTTCAAAAGAATATTACAAATATGATGATTTAAAATGTTTTGATAACAGACGCCTTAGCATTCCTTCTCCAAAAGCTGATGGTTACTTGTATTACTGATTCTCTGAGAAATACAAGTAGTTTTGAAAAAGTGTTAACAATTAAGTTGGTGAGTTCATAAGAGTTTTTGTACTGAAAATTTGTATGTCCTTTAGTAAAAATAACTGAACGTGCTTTCCAGAAAATCCAATATTTTCTACATGTACTGCTATTGTGGAGATCATCATCGTCATCATCATCATCATCGCCATCATCATCACCATCATCACCACCACTACCACAACCACCACCACCACCATTACCCGTTTCATTGTTTAACGTTGTAATGCTTACATATACATATACACACACATACATATACACACATACATATACATAAGCACACACATACAAATATACATATTTCCCATAATTATCATATTTTTTCATTATTTAATTTATACATTAAACGTATATTATTTTTAATTGTTTGTTTGTGTGTTAAACACATTTTTAATTGTTTGTGAGAATAGATTATTATTAGGACTATTAGTATAATTTTTAATTGATTGTGTTTTAAATATGTAAAAACAAAACGATCATAAAAAAAGTTTTAAGACTTGAATATTGAAAAAAAAAAAAATAATAATAATAATAATAATAATAAATAATAATAATAATAATAATAATGTTAATAATAATAATAATAATGTTAATAATCATAATAATAATAATAATAATGTTAATAATCATAATAATAATAATAATAATGTTAATAATAATAATAATAATGTTAATAATCATAATAATAATAATAATAATGTTAATAATCATAATAATAATTGAAAAAAGAAAGTGTATAAAATTAATAGGAGACTAACTCAGCAAGGATGTGGCATGCCCGGCCGGATGGTAAGTGTGTTGGTTTGTTATGCAGGAGACTGGAGTTCGATTCTTACCCCACCCCGTTTTTCTTTATTTTTCCAGAAACAAAATAAAAGAAAAAAAAAAAATCATTGGAGTCTAAACTCTTAAGGAAGTGGCATACCCGGCCGGTTGGTAAGAATGTTGGTTAAATGCGCGTGAGACTCGAGTTCGAATCTTACCCCACCTCGTTTTTCATTATTTTTGCAGAAACAAGATAAAATAAATTAGAGTCTAAACTTTTAAGGAAGTGGCATACCCGGCCGGTTGGTAAGATTGTTGGTTAAATGCCCGTGAGACTCGAGTTCGATTTCTGCTGCAATAATTTTTCATTTTTTTTTGCTGGCCGTAGCTAATCCGTAGCTAAGCCGTAGGTGTCCTTTAAATGAAAAACCCTCCCTGCCTTTTTTGTCTTCCCCCTCTCCCAGTATCTGTTAGACGAACAAAAAAAACGCTACAGCTCTCTCTCTCTCTGGTGACCGACGAACTCTTCCCCCTGGTCGGCGCTCCTTCCTCCTGGACGTTTCCGTCGTCGACGACACTGCCATTGCCGGTGCTTCTTCCTGCTGCATTTTCCCGTCGCCGAGCCAAGAAAGGTAAACCCTAGTTTTTTTTCTTTTTTGTTTCTTTTTAAAAATTACTTTGTTTTAGGTTTAATTTTGTTGAATGTGAGCTGGTAAGGTTGATTTTTTTTGTTGAATGTGAGGTTTTAGGTTGATTTTTTTGTTGAATGTGATGTTTTAGGTTGATTTTGGTGTTTAAGATTTGTTAAAATTACTTCCTCCTGCACTTTGTTGAATGTGTGGTTATAGATTTGTTAAATATGAAATATAGGTTGAATTTGAGGTTTTAGATTTGTTAAATATGATATATATGTTATATAAAAAATGTTAAGTTAATTTGTTAAATTTGTTAAAAATGTTAGTTAATGTTTATATATGGATTTTTAGTTAATTTAAAATGCCTATTATGATATTGATCATTTGTTGAAATGTTATGTATCGTTAGTTATACATATTAGATTAAATGGGATGTTATACATATTAGATTAAATGGGATGTTACACTATTATATTGAAATGTTAGGATTCTAATTAACATTTTTAAATCGAAATGTAGTTTTAGATCAAAATGTTGTCTAATAGAGAATGGATGTACACGAAGAGACTTGATAGTCGTCGTTTGTTTAATCCGCAATGGCCACATTATGTCAATTTGTTTTTGGATTTTGCTTACACGAACGCAACAAACATCCAACGTATTATTAGGGAAGGGGTGGAAGTTTTTGAAATTAGATGTCCGTGTGTGAAATGCAAAAATATTTATTACCACCCGAGAGAATTAGTTTTTAACCATCTTATTGCCCGGGGATTCATGAATGGTTATTCACTATGGCATTTACATGGCGAAAAATATCCAACACTAGAGATTGGTCAATATTCAAACCCAATATCAGCTCAACACGTGGTTCAAAGTTTAAATCCTGAAACGGGTCAACACATTAATAACGATTTTGGTGATTATCGTAGATACGAGGAGATGGTCATCGAAAGCATGCATCAACTCGAGGCTTCTTATTATCAACAAACACCACACCACCTAAATCTTGAAGCCCAAAATTTTTATAAAATTTTGAAACAAGCGAGTGAGCCTTTATGGGACGGGTGTACAAAAACTTCCACACTCGCCGCGCCCACTAGATTATTGTACTGGAAATCACAATCTAATGTTTCAGACACGTCATTTGATAAACTACTTTCGATTGTTAAAGACATTCTACCATCTGGCGAGAAGCTTCCTAATAGCTTCTACGAGACCAAGAAAATGTTGAAGCCACTAAAATTGCCTTCAGAACGGATTCATGTGTGTATAAACCATTGCATGCTATTTAGGGGCCAGTTTGCTGATCTGGATCAGTGTGTAGTATGTGGTGAAAATAGATACAAAGACAGAGGGAGGAAAGTTCCTCATTTGGTCTTGACTTACATGCCGATTGGACCGAGACTTCAAAGGCTCTTTTATTCAAGGAAGACGGCCAAACATTTAACTTGGCATTCAGATCATTCAATAGATCCAGAAAAGATGATACATCCCAGTGAAGGTAAAGCATGGAATCATTTTGACACAACATATCCTGATTTTGCAAATGAGATGCGCAACATTCGTCTCGGGTTGTGCACTGATGGGTTTAGTCCTAATAATTCAAATACAACTCCCTGTTTACAACCTACCCCCTTGGTTGGCTTTTAAATATCAGTACATACAACTTCCATTGATCATTCCTGGGAAGAAGAGTCCTGGACAAAATTTGGATGTTTTTTTACAACCTCTGGTGGAAGAGTTGAAGATGTTCACAGATGGCATTGAAACTTATGATGCTCATCGAATGACCAATTTTCAAATGAAGGTTGTACTTCTATGGACAGTTAGTGACTTCCCTCCTTATGCAATGTTGTCCGGATGGAGCACTCATGGTAATTTAGCGTGCCCATATTGCATGCACCAAACAGAATCATTCCGGCTTGTCAACGGACAAAAACCGTGTTGGTTTGACTGTCATAGAAAACATCTACCTGAAAGACACGTATTTCGAAATGATACGGTTAATTTTATAAAAGGCAAGAAAGTGAAGGGTCATGAAGTGCCTGTTCCGTACCCAACCGGAGAATATATTTGGGAGAAAATCCAACATTTTCCCACTGTATACAACGGTACACCCTATGGTCCAAATTATGTAAAACCACATGGTTTTGGTATTACACATAACTGGGTAAAGAAGAGCATCTTTTGGGAGCTTCCATATTGGCGTCACCTGTTGATCCGACATAACCTTGATTTGATGCATATTTAGAGGAATTTTTTTGAAAATATGTTTCAGACTTCGATGGGCACCTCAAAGTCTAAAGACAATATAAAGGCAAGAGAGGATATTAAGATGCTATGTGATCGACCTATACTAAACCCTATCAGGGACAACAACAGGAAGGCTAGGAAGAATCGTGGAGATTACACATTGAAAAAGGACCAAGTTCAAAAAGTATGTGAGTTGTTGAAAAAGCTCAAATTTCCTGACGGGTATGCATTAAATACAGGAAACTGCGTAAACATCAAAGATTACAGTTTCTATGGTTTCAAAAGCCACGACTGTCAAGTGTTTATGCAACAGTTGCTTCCCCTAGCTTTAAGAGGGTTTGTTCCAACAAAGATATACGAGGCCGTATCAGAGATATCTATGTACTTTCGAGTATTATGCTCGAAAACGTTGCATTTTCAGGACATGTTTGATATGAAACGTAGTATTATTCAGACTATGTGCAAGTTGGAGCAAATATACCCTCCGGGCTTCTTTGATTCAATGGAACACCTAGTCATACATTTAGTTGATGAAGCTATTGTTGGTGGTCCGGTACATTATAGATGGATGTTTCAATACGAGAGGTAATCAGATGTTTTAATATTATATATCTAACATTTTTAAAGTATTATGCTCGAAAACGTTGCATTTCCTAATACATCGTCCATACTTTGTAAATATAGGAAACTGGGCATAATTAAAAGAAGAATAAGGAACAAAGCAAGGGTTGAGGGTTCAATAGTCAACGAACATCTAGTGAATGAACTCGCTACCTATTGTTCGTTATATTTTGACCCGACGATTGAGACACGCCATAATCGAGAAGCACGGAATTTTGCATCGCAAAGTCATAATTTTTCTAGTGGAGAAGCTCTACTTAGCATCTTTGTTGTCCCTTCAAGAAGATTATATGAAAAAAGTGGAAAATGACAAGCTTTGACTGATAAAGGTTTTCACAAGGCGCACACCTACATATTACTTAACTATAAAGAAGTTAACCCTTACATCATGGATTTTGATGAAATGGTCATGAAAACAAATCCAAACGAATCAGTTTCAGATTTAAGAGATAAATACTTTGCTGAATGGTTTGAGGACAAAGTAAGTAGAAATAGTTAAATCATACTAATTGTTACCAATGCATCATTAACCAACATAATGTGTATATTTTCAATGTAGGTAATGTATAAGACACCTGATGGAAGTGCTACACACTTAGAAGTTATAGCTAATAAACCATCGAGACATGCTCGTTACTATAATGGGTATTTTGTAAATGGTTATAAGTTTCACACTCAACAATACGGTGAGGGTCGTGTGACGAATAACTTTGGAGTATGTGTGAGAGGGGAGACGTATAATGCCGAACAAGAGTCAGACTACTATGGCATAGTGCAAGAGATCATAGAGATTAAGTATTATAGCAGCGGACCCTCGACTGTTGTACTGTTTAATTGTATTTGGTTTGATAACAAAGACGGTGTAATAGTCAACAAAAACAAGTTGATTGATGTCAAACCCAACTCTCGACTTCAAACTGACGACCCTTTTTGTTTGGCATCACAAGCCGAACAAGTGTTTTATAAACCATACCCTTCAATGACAAGGGAGACTAAAGATAAGTGGGCGGTGATCAAGACAAAACCAAGAGGAGTATTTGAAGTTATCGAAGCTGAAATGGAAGCAGATGAAATCTTTCAGGATGAAGAACGATTTGAGTCACCCCTTACTGTAACTCGTGCAGAACGATTGTGCCTAGCCTCAACTACAAATACGTATGAGCAAATATCTGACGACGAGAATGAGAGAATTAGGGAGGAAGACGAAGAAGTGGAAGATTTTGAAGTCGAAGATGATGAAAACGAGTTGTATTATTCAGAAGAAGAATTTGAAGACGAAGATGATGAGGACGGATGTGAGGAGCATTGTCTTTTGTTGATGATAAGAGCATTGTATTTGTTGATGTTAAGAGCATTGTCTTCTTTTTTAAAACCTTAAAATTAAATGTTGTTTTTGTAATGATTTTGGTTTGGACATATTGTTCTTTTAAACATTTCTTTTGTCATAAGTTATTAATCTTATATTATATAACTGACCATTCTTGTTCTATTAAATGCAGCATGTCGGGTAATGGACGCAAGGATAAAGGCCACATTAACAACTCTTTTTCTGGTAGTGCGAGGCATAGGGTGGGGAGGGCATCCCCTAATTCTACCGAAGAGCCACGTTATAGGACGTCACTCATACCGATCGATATGCCGATAGTGATAGGAGTTGCAGGCTCCAACAGTCAGGGTGCTATTAGTCAGCAAACCGGTATGGCTGATCCTTTAGCAGACTTGGCCGAGATTCTTTGCCGTCGGGCTCGAGAGACGGGTCATATGCCCCAGCTCCCACATACGGATTATAGGCCTCAGCTCCCACCATAGACGGATTATAGACCTCAGTCCCCACAAATGTTTTTGAGGACATGTGGTAATGATGGGTTTGAGGAATATTGTTTTGAGGGTACAGATGCAGAGGCAACCTTTCGGTCACCACATACCCCACACACACACCGAAGGCACCGAACACGCCATTGACGCCACATGGCTCCGCCTCTAGAGGTATTTTTAGGAGGTCACGACTCGAATGCGAGTGATTTTCACGCCTCGTCGTTGCCCCTCATCAGCCGAGATGGGGAAAAGTTAGTTTTTTCATCATTTAAAACTAAATTTCTTGATGTTATAATTATACTTATATAGTTTTTTCAATACTATAGGTTTGGGGATCAAAAAATCCACAACACGTGTATTCGTCTCTTTTGGGAGAATGTGGATCATCCGTGGGCCCGGTTCAGTGATATTCCAAATGAGGCTCTTATACAGATGTTTTCGCGTTTCGGGGTAATATATTAAATACTTGTTATTGTATCTTATACTCATTTGTTTTTAGTTTGTATTTTTAAATTTACTTTTTATTTTTTACAGACCAAGGTGGCATTCACAAGAGAATGAGAACATATTTGATGCATTCAAGTGTGTCCTTAAGGATAGATACAGAGATAGGATGAAAGGTATCAGGAGACAATCTGCCAACATGGCACGAAATGATGGGAAACCCCTCCCCCCAAAGTTTTGTAGCTACTATGATGGGATGCATAACTACCGCCACGAACGCGTACCGGAGACTATGTGGCAACGTTTGTGTGATGTAACGGATATGATACATTATTATTTTTTTGTTAAGTTTTTTATTTCTTATTATATTATTGTACTTATATATATTTTTTCTTTTCAAAGCATTGGTCCACAGAGAAGTGGCAAAAGAATTCAAAAATCGCTCAGCAGAACCGCAACACCGCAGATTCTAGTGGGTCAACAACAAGACACATTGCGGGTAGTATAGGATTTGACCAGCACCGCAGGAAATTAGTAAGTATCACAATAATAAATTTTATTATTCTTATTTTGTTATAACACTAACTAAGTTAATTGTACGTTGACTTTTATGTAGGAACAATTGATGGGTAAACCACCCACACAGTATGATGTTTTCGTGAAGACGCATGGCACTGCCGAGTCAAAGAAAAAATATTTTGAGGGACATCATGAAAATCTTGAATATTGCTCGCAGACGGCCAAAGAAGCACAAGTAACTTATCTTTATCATTTATGTATATTGATTGTCTCATTTTTGTATATGACAATCATGTTGTTTTTTGTAATTTGTAGGAGGCGTATCTGCAGGGGTTGGTCAACAAATTTGGTGAGGATCCTTCAAATCGTAAGGATGATGTAGGTGTATGGGAGGAAAGCCAACTTAGAAGAAAAGGAAAGAAGAAGGGTGCTATCTATGGGATAGGAGCATCAGATATATATTTTTTGGTTTTAGGGACTCCATCTTCCCAATCCACCCAGTCCACCCAGTCGGATAGCATGCAACAAGAGGTATGTTGATAATACTAATTAAATTGATAATAAACAAAAGTATGTTGTTATTATGGTTAAAAGTTAGGTAGTTTGGTGAGAATATTGATTAAATTGATAATAAACAAAAATATGTTGCTATTATGGTTAAAGGTTATGTAGTTTGTTGATAATATTGATTAAATTGATAATAAATAAATATATGTTGCTATTATGGTTTTAAAAGTTAAGTGTATTGCTATAATTATAAACTAAAATGCATTGTTACAATAAACTAAAATACATTGCTATTATTGTTTAAGTATTGAATTGTGTCACCATTTTTTAGGTTCATAGGTTGCGTGCGCAAGTTTCTGTCATGGAACAACAACAACAACAAATGATGAAAGAACAAATGGAGATGGTTATGAGGATGATAAATATGTCTGGAAATCAACCCCGTGGTCCCCCCGATAATCCACCCGAGGACAATTGATAAGTATTTTGGAACAATTGATAAGTATGTTGGAACAATTGAATTTGTCAACACTTGTATTGTTTGCTTGTTTTGTTATGCTTAATTTGTATGGTACTTGAGACATTTGTATGGTATTTAAGACAATGGAATTGAATGTGTTAAAGTTGGTATTAGGGACATTTTTTGGTGTATTTTGGACAAATTGAATTGATATGGTATTTGACAAAAAATGGTAATTTTTAAATTTTTAAAATTTTTTTTTTTTGATAAAATGAAATTAGCTACGGACTAGCTACGGAAATCCGTCGCTAAATAGGTCCGTAGGTATTCCGTAGGAAGAAAGTCAATTTTAGTCAAACTTGAATTCTGTCGTTAATTCGTAGGAAATCTGTAGCTAAACAGTTCTCTAGCTATTCCGTAGGAAAATACTTGCGTGGGTAATCCGTAGGAAATCCGTAGCCATGTGATTCCGTAGCTATTCCGTAGGAACATACACCCGTTGGCAATCCGTAGGTATTCCGTAGCAATTATTGGCCGTAGTTATTCCGTAGGTATTATACCTACGGAAAAATCCGTAGCTATTATGTAGCTAGTCCGTAGCAATTCCGTAGGTAAAAATTTCCCACGGGCATTTATGCTACATGGCATTTTCCATAGCAAATCCGTAGGTATCGCCTTATACCTACCGAATAGCTACGGATTGTGCTGTAGCTGTTGTCCTAGTTTTCTAGTAGTGGATGTGTATATATGTATGTATAAATGTTATCTAATATAAATCTATTTGTTGTCTTGTTAGTAAAACAATTTTATCGTTTTACACAAAAAAATTCTTCCTCGTGTCTTCAACGTTTTTTCCAATGGCATGTTGCATAACGGACCCGATTGTAAAACCGGGTTCTTCCATCAATTTTAAAGTTTCCATTTTGATAGAATTATCCTTGAGCTAATTTATACGTACTTGGTGAAATTAGAGTTGAAATATTACTTATGAAAAATGTCTCATAGGACCTATTTTGATATCCAAGATCGTTTAGTTATAACTATTGCTCACCAACATTTGTACGAAGAGGTGACAACAAAAAAGAAACTTAAATAAGAAAAGAGGAAGAGGTAAGGAATCAATAAGTGAAGGATAAAGAATTTGTAAATTAAGTTGTAGTGCTTCATGGTTCCCGTTGAAAAGTTCACACATTCCATTTTCCTTTGTGCAAAATTTTATGGGCATCTAAAGCAAGTGATTAGAATGTTGGATCAACTTGCAATTTTTTATACATCTGTTAACTAAAAAGTAAATGAAACTTTATGAGGCTTGTTGTAGCTATTGGGTAGTGGAGTCGTAAAGTTGATTTCTTTTATCGGGCATTAATCTCTTGTTGAATTTTGATTGATTTATAAAAAGCTTCCTCGAAATTAAATACTCAGGAACCTACTAGTAAAATAATGATGATTTCTATCATTAAGCCCATATGGCCAAGAAAGACATGCATCCAGCCCCTAGAAGAAGTGACACATTTGCTCCGAACTGAAGCCTTGAATTGCTTTGCATCCTTGGGTTCATAAAATCGGCAGCCAGAAGGTCAACCAGTGCCATGTAAATCAGTATTCCACCCGAGCCAGAGTTCAAGATTCCTTCCACTATCAGGGATTTAGTGCTGTCTTGTTTGTAAATATTTGATATTCCAACACCTACTGCTATTCCTATCGGTGTCGTCAGGGAGAAAAATATTGCCATCATCGCTGTTGACAAAGATTTATATTTTGCCTGCAAATATATGGCCCACACCCACAGTATAACTGTAATATTCATATGCTACGTATACTAGTGGATTAATTGGATATCAAAAATTATATATAGAATATGTTATTTGATTCTACATTAATTATAATTATATATGTAATCAAACAAACAAAAAAACTTGCTAAATTGACTTATTCGATCAAAGTAATACCTGAGAGATGCATCCACCAAGTCCCATGCCTTCAAAGAACTGATGAAAAGACAAGGCTGCAAGTAGAGACTTTATGGTCGAGATATTTTGGGAAGCCCCTAACGAGAGTCCAATAATTACCGAGTGAACTATGATTCCCAGCTCCAACACCTAATTAATTAATCTAACACATGTCAACGCATTGCTGCATGCGTACATAATAATATATAATAGAGTATTATATATGTTTCAATAATAATAAATTTTAATTACTTGCGATATGATACGATGCCTGATGAGTTCTGATTCATGAACGGAGCCATGAGCATGGCCATCTGTGGCATGTGCGTGGACATGAACATGACCCGCATGGTCATCCATAACAGCGATACTACTCCCGGACTCAACGTCTACCACCTGCTGTGCCTTTTGCTTTTTGAAGTGCATCTTTCTATAAAAGCTGGTTGCATAGGTGTCCACCATAAGGGCCCCGATGGCAGAAGTCATTGCAACAAAACCGGCAAAAGGGAACTTACCCCATGGATTCTCAGGAAGGCATGGTGAGGTTAGATGTTGAAATGCATCCGGTAGGATGTGGATAAAGCCGGTGGCTAGGATCACGCCAGCAGCAAAGGCCTTGATCATGAAAAATATGTCATTATCTGGGTTCAGCGCTTCCACTCTCTTACCAAGCTGAGGGATGCTCACACCAATTCCACCAGCAAAAAGGATGGTGAGCATAGCAGCTATTTTGTATTTAAGGGACTCATGACTGCTGCCGCTTGTGGTGGTGGTGGTGGTGGCGCTGTCATCCTCCACCTTGCAATCTGCTGTTACCATTGTAGGCAAAAGAGCAAGAAACAAGACCATTAGATTCATGGTTTTGTTGGAATACAGGCGTAGATGTTGGCTCATTGTGAGTGGGTCCCTCTGTGTCGTTTGGATTACTACTTTTCGATGGAAGTTTGTGTGCGAGGGACAAAATGTCTTTTTGATTGTTTTGATAGAGAAACCTGTGCTGGTTCATCAATATATATATATGTACAAAAAACAAATTTATATATATATATATATATATATATATATATATATATATATATTAAAAAAAAAGTAACTTAAGAAATTAACTCGGTCATATAAAAGTGTATTCACAAAAACAAAATCTCTAAAAAAATGTGCTTTGTCAAAAATAAGTGTCATATGTGCACATCTATTTCGAGTTTTTTTTTTCAAGTAGAATTATATATGACTAACTTAATGTTTTAAGTCACTTATTTTAAAATAAATATTAAACAAAAAAAATTCTCGAAGTTCGTGGGAAAATATAAGTTCGTAAAAGATCCTTATTTATATATATATATATATATATATATATATATATATATATATATATATATAGAGAGAGAGAGAGAGAGAGAGAGAGAGAGAGATATGGGGTGGAAGGAGAATAAAAAAGGGGTGGCTTGAGTGGGAGAATATATGGAGAAGAAAAAGATGGAGGGACAAGAATGAAAGAGGATTGGTCTGAGTAGTCTAGGAGTTAGAAGTAACGTTGCCACACTTCAATTTCTCAATTTTATCAAATAGGCCAAATCTATTTAACTTTGCAAGAAGTTTTTTTTATCGGTGTTTCTATACTTAGGGCAGAGTATGTTTGCAAATAATTTTTTAGAGTATTTAGTTTTAATAAATAGAATTTAACTAAGGAAAACATTTGTTCCAAAGTGTGTGATTAAACTTTTATTTTAAACAAATGCTTATAATTCAGAAATCATTTCAAATAATTTTTAAGATTTTTTTTAAACTTATTTACTATATGGTTTATACATATCAAAAGTTTACATGTATTTTTTTCCGAATACTTCTATCCGAATAATAGTTACATCATTAGTTAGTTTTACAAAACTTACCTTTAGTGAAACTTAGAGGGTGTTTGGGAAAACTTATTTAAAATAACTATTAACTTATAGTTTATTAACTTATACCGGTATCAAAACGGAATTTTTAAAACAGTGTTTGGCTAAGTTTATTCGGTGTCAAAACGCTATAAGCTTATTAAATTATAGCGTATGTTTTTGTGTCGATGTAGGTTTAGGTTAAGGGATATATTTGTTAATTTCTTTGAATGATGAAATAAGAAGTTTTTGATAAGTAAGGGGTAAATGATTTATCAAAAAAATGATTTATTGGAGGTTCCAAACAGCTATAAGTTGTTTTTTAAAAAGTTTTTAGTCAAACACCTTTTTTGACTTATACCGGTATAAAACCGGTAATAAATCAAAAAATTACTTTTTTAAGCTTTGCCAAACACCCTCTTAGTTGAAGAACTCGTTGATCATTTAAATGCATCATCAATAGGATGATGATTTTGTAAACACTTTTTACTTTTTTTTTATTGTCTAAACATGCGTTTGGATCATACACCACCACAACCCAAATAATCATGTGAAAGCAAAATGAGGTATATAGTGGTCATACTATATAAACCGTCCTAAAACCTACCGTCAAACAACACGCAGTCAATAAGAAATGATTATTCTAACAAAGTATTATGGGCATTTTAAAGAAGTATTATCTAACGTCTTTGTATATTGACAAGTAAACATAAAAAATTAAACACCACAAGTTATGTTACAAGGAGAAACTTGTTTAACAATGGAACTATTATTGACAAAGTGTTAGAAAAAGCGAAAATCTAAAAAAATTAAAAAATTTGGCATTTCTCCTTTTCTTAGTTGTAAGGATTAGTTTGAACAACCAGCTTCTATTTTAATTATTCAATTATTTCTTTTATTTTTTGTAAAATAAAATCAACATTACATGAATTTTTAAGGCCATGCACTTTTCTTTAGGCCATGTCGATTTGTTGTCAATCAATCAGTTTTTTTTAGAATGGCTTTTGAACCTGTGCTTGAGTATAATAATGAATTTTCAAATATTCTTTTCTAAACTAGCATTGTTTTGTCAATCCAATCTTTGACCCTCTCCACTCATCCTCTACTCTCTTTAAATTCAGATTTTTTTTACCTAAAACAAACCGGTGTGCAAGTAAATATAAATAATTATTGAAACTATTGTATTTTTAATGTTCAGTTTCATTATTTATTTTTGTTTTATTTATTTTGTTAAGGATTTTGTCATGAGGGTATCCTTTGTAGATCATGAATTCTTTGATTAAGCGTGTTTTGTTAAATATGTTGGTCAAAGGGTTAGTCGTGTTATTGTGGCATAGTTTTGGGTTGCGGCTCGTTTTTGGTAAACTGCAAGTGGAAGACATGCGGATCTTTACCCGATCCATGGGTCTACTTGAATCCGTTGACCCGAAGTATAAATGTAGTTCATGGAGCTGTGATGCTCATAATTTCACACACAAGTTTTCAGCTCTCTCTCTTTTCTCTCGTTTACGATACTCAGAGTTAGGGTTAGGGTTTTACTGTCTTGATATTTTCCATTGTTATTGAGTGATCTTGTATGATCGATTTAGTTTTAGGTTGAGTGTTGTAACTGAGAGTTTTTGTAATGAGGTTTCTATGTACGTACCTGAAAACCTTCTGGTTCTTTTTCCTTAAATGATATAAGAATCGTTGATGTTGTGCATATTGTGTTTTTGGAGTTTTTGACATTGTATCAAAGCTTCACGGTTCAAATCTTAAGCAATCAGACGATTGACGGTGTTTCGACGTCGATAGTTGAAAGGTATCTTTGTTTCTTCTTTTGTTTCCTTGTTTCCTTGTAGATCTTCACTCAATCTATTTAGATCAGAAGGTTTCTATTGGAAATCTTTTGATCTTCTGTTTGAGTGTTTGTTTTTGATCTTGTAGATTGTGACATCTCAGAATTTAGGTCAAAGACTGTGGACGGTCAATTCATAGTAAATGTCTTTGTAATTTAACTCATTGAGTTTTAGTGCATCTTCTAAAAAATAAATGAGTTCATTTCAACTATTATAATATCCCAGATGATATCTTACTTCCAAATGTGTAAACTGACAAACGAATCAAACAACTCAAACTACAACCATGGTTAATGCGTTTATTAAGACCGGTTGTCGCACTCGATTTAAACAAATAAAATCTAACATTGTTGGTTGCACTAAAAATATAGCACACAGAAGCAGGGTCGAATCCTCAGGGACACAGCCTAACGGTCAATGCCTTTTTGCACCAGGCACAATCTAGTCAAGAAACATAAAATATAAAAGGGGGGTTTTTGAATTAACTAAAAACAACTAAAATTTGCAGTGATATTAACATTAAACGAAAATCAATATTAAAAATGATTTCAATTCTGTTGCGACAATCCTAATCATGCAATCAGTTCAAATCTTGTTATTCAGAATGTGTTCTATCAAAGCTGGTACTTAAAAAAACTAACAAATTTTAGTATAATCTCTTTTACATAAATTAGTTAACCAAAACAAGCTCTTTGAATTAACTCTAACTTGTTTACTGTCTAATTAAATAAGCTCTTAATTAAATTAGAAAAAGCAACTTTAAGTTGTGTGTAAAATTCTCAGTAATACCCAATACTTCTCACAAGCTCGGAAGCGTAAATATATGATTTTTCATTTTATATCAGAGTTAAATCCCAAAACGGAACCAGTCTGATACTTGTTACTTTTTACCAGTTGACAAGAACAATTACGGATTTTATTAACTGATTAACTGGAATGATAAAACCCTAGCTATGTGATCAGACTAACAAGAATTAAAAACTAAATATTCATTAAGCTCAAAACTGAAAAATCTAGATAGAAACACAAAACAAAAATCAGATCTGATAACTGATCACATGAAAAGTACTAGTCTATGTAGAACTGAAAACTAAGGTTTAGCCAGACATGGCTAAAAACGAAACTAAACTAGATAAAAGAAACATTTACTGATCAATCTAGATAAACTAAATGAATGAGATTATTCGCAGTCTTCAGATCTCCAAAAGTCGATGAAAAAATTCAAAAATCGCCTTCAGAAGTGGTTTTCGTCGTTTGGAATCGTCTCCCTTGCAACTAATTATGAGGATTGTATTTATACTCAAGGCAGAAACTTCCTGAACAAGAATCTGATAATATGCGATCGCAGGTTTCCTTAAAAACGTGTATCAGGCCGATTTGAGGACGTACAATACTTATCTGGACTTTTTGGACAACATGCGATTGCAGCTTCTTAAAATCTCCCGGGATTGCGTCTGAATGAAACCCAAAGTCAAATTTGAAATTTCCGATGTTACGGCCCAAAGCTACGATCATAGGTTTGTTGGATTAGGTGTCTAAGCCCATAACAATATTTTGTATGCACTTGATTTGATAGTAGCATGGTCCTTTTGGGTTGCCTTCACTCTAGCAACTTGACAATATGACTTTTGGAGAGAGGTTGAATTTATTATTTGGAATAGTAAATTGATTTATTAATGTATTATGAAAATAATATATTAATTAGAAATCATGTTATTTAATTAAGTATTTAATCAGAAATTCATTTGGAATTAATTTCGGGATTATGGGAAGTGATTAAATGAATAGGGGTTGTTTTGCAAATCATTGATAGTTGTGAAACTGGGCTAATGGACTCCTTAGATGGGAGTGGACAAAATCCTATAGGGAGGCCCTATATATTTCGTCCCAGGCTTATTGGTAAAGAGTATATGAGCTACTTAAGCCTTAAGCAGAAAATTTTGGTTTCCTCCAGAGACCCTAGCAGCCCTCAGTTATATTAAGACCCCATAGCTTAGGATTTTAGGCTAATGCTTACATTTGTAAACCCTAGCCGAATTTCTAAGCGCATACCTCCTCTCTCCGCTCATCCTCTTGCTAGTGGTGTTTGTAAGCCATTAGAGGTGCAACATTTAAGGCACTAAGCTTTTAAGAGTCAAGGATCTACAAGGTGTTCTTGTTATTACTACATAACAAGTAAGGTAATCATCAAAACCCCTTTTGTTTGTAATTTTCGATTTATATATGCTAGATCTAGGGTTTTGCTTTGGTATTCAAATTTGCATGTTCAACTAGTG